CCCACCCAACCATCACCACCATCGCCACCTTAAAATCGAACCTCAGAGAGGAAAAAAGTGGGAAGCAGGTGACCCGTCTTTAAAGTGTGGGAGGAGATATCAGTTCCTTCTTCTGYTCTGAGGGACATGTTGGTTTTTGTCACTGGAGAGAAGAGTGTGGGCCATCGTGGGGTCACAGAGGAGGAACGAAATGTCTGCTTCTACAGCCGACGCTGGTTTGTGACTTTCCCAGTAAATATGGATCAGTTTAGATAACAAAACAATAAAAAAAGCTCAGGTATAAGATGCCATCTCAAAACTACAGAGAATATCTCTTGAACTACTGGAAAAAAACACTAAAACTAATTAATGATTGGAGTCAAGTCGGCCAGTTGATCTTAAAAAACACAAAACAACTCAATGACTTTAAAGATATTGAGGTAAAATTTGGTGCGGCGGTAGCACCGACTACTTCCTCACACACACTCCGAAGCGCTCCACATTACACAACATATTTGCTTAAAATCTTGGCACGAACTTTTTTGGCATGAGCCCTGTCTGTCTGAGAACATGCAAACTCCACCCAGAAAGGCCCCCAGGAGGCAGTCCTGCAGCCTGAACGCCAAGAGGCGACGGCTCGAACCGCTGCTCCACCGTGCCGCCCTTCCCTCTTCGAAAAAAAAAAAACCTTCTTTCTGAAAATCCCTTTGAATAAATCATCAAACGTGTGATTTCAAAAACACTCAGCATCAGCAAAGTCAATCAAAATACCACTAAGAGACCACTGATGTGGTATTTAGTTGGTAGGAATATTTTTATATTTCCATATTTCGCAAAAAAAAAAACATTAAAGGAAGAAATGTTTTTTTTTCATTTTGAACAAAGGTGTCAATTTGCCTAACTAATGTATAAAACATAAAATATACTGTCGCATTACATTAAAGAAATTACTAAAAGTAAAATTAAATTTTTTTAAAACATATAAGATCGATTGAAGAAAAACTCTGAACCTTAAACACGCTCATCAGCTCTCCTTCTTGGCTGTTCTTTTTCCATTTTTTTTCTGCACTGATGCAATCTGAAAAATGTGGGCCACAGCCATATATTGACCTCAACAAGAGGCCACCTGTCAGGAAAAAGCTGGGAACTCCAGCCGTAATTCTATATTTCAACTTTTATCAGTTAAAAAGCCGTTTTTAGTGACCCGACGTGTGCTCTCTGCGGACAGCAGGCTTCAGATACAATCGACTTTTCTGCAGGAAGGACGGTTCAAGCCTCCTAAAAGTCATAAATGCTACTCTTAAAAAAAAGGCGGATTATAATGCATCACTTTAGATGTAAAGATAAGGAGTGAAAAAGCCCAAACAACAAAGTGGGATTTGTCTTCTGGGGTGTTTTGTTGGATCTTTGTTGTGAGGCTCTCAGAGAGCAAAGGAGTTCACAGGTGCCAGGTACTGCAGCTGGATGGGGAGGAGGTTAGTGAGGGACAGGGGTGGAGGGGGCGGGGGTAGAATTGGCAAAGGCTCATGGGAAAAATTGGATCTGCTTCCACTCAAGCTCTAACAAGCAGCGAGGAAAACTTCGCCTCTGCGCATCTGCGACGGAGCGCGCACACACTCACTCAGAGGCATTTCAAGACCGGCAATTTCAGAGCTGTGAGTCAGCTGTTATGAGCAAAATATCTGCAGGGAAGCAAAGCTGGATGCTACTTCAAAGAGCTCTCTGCTGACCATCAGTTCACTCATTTTCCATATTTGATCTAAAAAAGTAATAATATCTGCGCTAAATGTTCCTCGCGCACAGTTGTGTGCTCGCATTTGAATCCCTGGTGATTAACGTTTAACGCTGGTTTGAAGAAAACCGAACACGGTGGTTTTAAACAACAAAACTTTCCCAGTGACTTATTAGGAAATCCAAGTAAAAACAGGATTTCTCGGAACATTCTCTGCAAGGTCATCCATTTCAACAAGCTTTCATCCATCTCTATCACTAATGGGTGGCTTCCAAATATCACCACTCTGGTGCTAAACAAACAGAGAGCASCACCTCCAAACAATGCATGGCAAACAGTCTAATAGGGGTTAAATGGGAATCTCCAGAACAGTGCTCTGAGTGAGGAATAAAAACGTGCCAGAAGTTTGTTCATGCTATAAAATAATGACCTGATTAGTTTAATACTACTAATGCTCATCACCAACAGCTAAAACAACAAAAAACAGCTTAAAGAACATTTGTCCAGTTTGATAAACTTCAGTTTATTTTCATTAAAGTTTTCCCTATGTTTGACCCAATCAGAAGCAGTGTATGACTTCCTGTTTTCAACCATCTTAATGTAGTTTAAAGGGGGGGGTATTATGCAAAATCAAGAGTTTTTTTAGCTTCATGTCATGCTATGTCATCCCAACAAAAACATGAGTGTTGCTTTGACTCACTCATGTATTGAGAATCTCCTGTGGTAGCCATCAGAGCTGCCGAAACACTGGTGCAAAGCTCCGCCTATTTACACAAAGCTCCTCCCTGAACCTCAGACTGCAGATGAGCACCACCAGACTGGCAAAATATTTCTTAAAAATGGTGACTGTTCATGATTTCACTACAAAACCTTKCTTCTATCTATATTTATAGTTTCTTTGCAAAAATTAGCTTAACTTCAACGTACATGCATGAGAGGATGACCGGGCGATTTAGCTGAAACGTTTTGTAACAGCCTCTGTACTCGCTCCGGTTCTTCTGAAAACATTAGGGTTCAACTTTATCCTGATTTGATATTTTCCAAAACGGATATTAGATAATGTTGCTTCTTTTCTTTTTTTTTTTTTTACAAGAAAACACAACGCACCTACGACAAGTACAAGCCTCATGAATCATTGTTGTAAAGACATGCTGAAGTGGGAGCGTCAGAAATGGTAGGAGGTTCTTAAAGAGACAGAGGCCAATTTCAAGGTGTTTAAAGCCTATAGCCGTGCTTCCATAAATGTTTTTATTCGCATTTTGAAGTATCGAATTAGAAAAGGTGGATGGAAACGACAAAATTCGCAAAACCTTCCTCAATTTCGGAAAAACATTTTTACGCTCGTTTGAGGTGGTTTTTGGATTTTCTGAAAAAGAGTTAATGCGGAAAAGGGGAGATGGAAACACATTTTGCTGAATAAATTGACATTTACCCTGATCAGCTGTTCCCATGGAGCCATGGTATTTACACACAAAGCATTCTGGGTAAATGATGACATGGATAGGTCCTCGGTGTGAGCGAGCTATATCCACCCTGAAGGTTAATCTTGGACAATATCTGATGATCGACTCTTTTAAATGAAACCAGAGAGCGTTGACAGAGAGGAGAAGGTAGAAACAACTTAGCCTGTAACTGAAAATGTGGATGGAGGACAGCAGAGCTGCTTCATGGAAGAAGAACCTCAGCTTAGCCTGTTAGCCTTTGATAACTAGTGCTGACGCTATAGTGCCTTATACATATTAGCAAAGCGCTAGCGCGACAAACAAGCTAAACTGAGGTCTTCCATCCATATTTTCAGTTGCAGGCTGAGTCATTTTTGTGTTCCCCTCTCTGTCATGTAGATGGAGGACTTCAGTGATGAGAGGAGAATGTGTAGCGCTGAGCTAATACATATATGGTGATAGCGTCGGGGCTAACGCTAAAGCTAACAGGCTAAGCTGAGGGTTCTTCTTCCATGAAGCATAAATCCATATTTTCAGTTCCAGGCTGAGTCATTTCTACCTTCTCCTCYCTKTCAACGCTCTCTGGTTTCATTTAAAAGAGACAATCGTGGATATAGCTCGCTCACACCGAGGACCTATCCACGTCATCATTTACCCAGAATGCTTTGCATGTAAATAAAACAGCCCCATCCATGCAATATTTTTAAACTTTTAGTTTAAAAATGATAAAAACTGAACATCCTACAGTATTTTACAATTAAAATATATGTTTATCAAATAAAGTATAACGTTACAACTAATCAGGGATCCCTTTAAAAGAGACCGTATATTATAAAAAGTGATGGTACTGACCCACTTCAAGCTCATCAAACGCTGCTTTAAAAGCATCAAAGCCTTCATTTAATTTGAGTTTAAAATATGTTTTGAAATGTTAGGTGGGATGAATAAAATGGATTCCATACCATACTTGCCCCCATCATCTCCATTGGCGTTGATTCTCTTCCCCAAGATTTGAACGTGTTTGCCCGTGGTTCGGCTGTAGAGCTGATAGATCCGGACCTGCTTCCGGCTCAAGTCGTCCGGGTTTCTCGTGTGGTTTTCGATGTAAAACCTAAAGTCGGCAGTGCTCTGCTGGGATTCCTGCGCAGAAGAGAGAGAGAGAGACCAGTACGTAAGAAGGAGAGACGGATCCTCGCAGCACAGGTGTTGGTAGTAATGTGCGCTGTTGGTTTTTATGGGCTCAGTGTCGCAAAGTTGAGCGTTTCTTTCTTTGCTTTCATGTTTTACATGCCACGCATTTACAAGCAGCTAAATAGGTTACGAGGCGCACTAATGAAGTCACGTTTGAGTAAAAACCCAATTGAAGAAGTACAAAGCAGCCTCGTTATGGTTCATATTGAGACAGAATATAACRTGCCCCGAGCGTTGTTGAGAAACCTGCACTCCATTTCCACAAGCCACTAGCAATTATACACCTGAAGCATTCAGACCTGTTGCACTATCATCAAACAAATATCTGCCTGCGGGAAGAACAGAGTCCATAAATTAGAAAAAAAAAAAAGCAGCAGGCAGAAGACAAGTCATTTTCTTACATCACAAAGGCTCTCTTTCTGTATAAAGCTGCACAAATCTGCATTCCACATCTCATCAGCCTGGTGTTTATGACTCAACTAAAACCTGACAAACAGACAGAGAAATTACACTTAGTGGTGTTTTTAAAAAAGCAACAGAAGCAACACTTTAAAGAGGTAACATATACTTTCAGAAGCCCTGGAATCTCAGTCCGGGCCAAGATCGGATCTCCCCAGCTGTATGGGCTGGTAATTGCACGGTAATTGCTTTTTATGTGGTTGTTCTCAGCTGGCTAATTACATAGGCATTACATACCCCGAGTCCTTGTTAATCTGTCTTTTAATGACACGTAGCAAACATAATGGCGTGTAGTGGCTTCAGATGAACWAATCCTTTAAATCGGAGACAAAAGACAAACAGCCTCTGCAAAACGCTCCTCAAATGCCTCTTCTGAACCAGATGGCACACAGGTTTTCCCAAGAATGTTTCCAAGTAAATGAAACAGACGTGTCAAGGTGCATTGGTCTTTCCAAAACAGTGTTTTTCTCTGTTTTGATCTAAACAAAACAAAGAAAATAACCCAAATGCTGCAGTGGCTATCCCAAGCCTGGATGTGGCGCTGTCACAGAAATGTACCAGAAACAAGAAACAATCCGTCTGATTTCCACTAAAACCTGTTTCTAAGTATTACAAACCAAACTATCGGTAAATGTACTCAAAGCTTCTCATCTGTTGTCAAACAAGAACCTCAAAGCTGACAAGTAAGAAGGAAAAACAAAAAGACAACCGCACAACAAAACACTGAGCTGCTGAGGGATTTATCCCAAATCTTCCCCCTCTCTAAACAAATATAAAGGTGTCTTCGGGAGACGGTTGGTTTTTTTTCGTCTGAATGGAGAGGCAAGCCTAAGCACATGGCGCAGGTGAAAGGCTGTAGCGACAGCACTTTTTATCACACGGCTCTTCTCCCCTCGGAAGAATGAAAAAAACGGATATGATTTCAACTTCAAACGTCTGGCAGGCCTCGCCTCCGCAGGAAGCTGAGCCGTTGCATCCATCTAAGATATGTCGCGCTATCTTCTTAAAACAAACGGGTAGGGTGCACAAATATGCACACAAACACACACACACAGAGAAACACACTCACGTGATGACAGTGCAACAGCTTCCAAACTCTGATTCATTCATTCAGTTGTTTAGTTATTTAACCATAATTGGTCATAAAAAGTGAAATATTTTAATGTCGTTATAAAACATCTTTGTTTTTTTCATTATTAATGATGAAACTGACACTTCAAAAAATGTTTTGTTTGATTAACACTTTTGTAATTTAAATTTAATTTAATTTGCAAATTCGATTTATGCAAATAAAGCAC